ATTTATTCCGTCGCCCCGATTAATTTCATTAAGAGAAATCGTCCCGGTTCCGCATATACACCGCGTTTTTTTCCGCTTCGTTCTGGTTCTATTTTTCATTTGAGCTTATTAAATCCGCCAAGGAATTTCATTTATCACTCGTTCCTTCGCGAAACATTCAATTGGCTTAATGTCAGCGAAACATATATTGAAAATACCTCGAGAAAACTATTTCGTTCGCGATTCTGTATACGACCAGCATACAAACGTTATACGCTACCTTTTGTTCAGGTAATGAAAATTTATGAAGACTTCAGTTATTTTCTAATTACATTTAGAACGTTATCGACGCTTCGATGTATCGAATCCGGTAACGGACCGTGTTATTTTTCATTGGAAAATGTTTTTTTATTGAACGAACCGGTCTCGACCGCAACGGCCTCATTAAACGCGCGTTTAATATCGTTGTTCGATTATGCGCGCATTATAAAAGCCGCCAGACATGCACGATTAAGCAATTCTAGGAGGAAAAATAAAAAAATAAAAAAAAAAGAGGTGCTGGATTACGCACCCCTACGGAAAATTCGGAAACTCTGTCCGAAAGTGTAGTTCCTATGCTTTGCAAACAAACACGTGGGCAACCACTGATTGTTTTTTTTTTGTTTAACGAATCACAACCATGCGTGAGAATTAAAAAAAAAAAATGATTGTAGACTTTACGGTGGGCAGTCGAGTTTTTAAAGTGCAAATCATGTACAGAAATGAAAACAGATTCGTGAAATCCAAAATAAGAGGTAAAACAGATGTGTAGAAGAAATTTAATTAAAGCGAAAGAGGTCACGTCCAAATCGAATAGGAAATTTTCAAATTTAATAAATTTCAATTGATAACGTGTCGATATAGATTGCAACCTACAACTGAATACTCCTCAATACAAACTTCTTAATATATTCTCAAATTTTTGGGTCATCGCCTACCATTAAAGTTTGACTTACATAACAGAAAAATATTGCCTCCATAACTCATCCTCCATTCTACCAAATATCAACTTCAACAAATAATACCCCATTCTAACAGATACAACATTTCAAGCATATAAACTTGATCCAAATTTATGATCCAATCGATTATCAAGCCCCTGTTTCCTCCATCGCGATATCCATTCTCACGAAAGCGCATATTTTCGTTCCAGCGAAACGACGCTCACCCCTTTCCCGAAGATACACTTAACTTTTAATCAGTATCACACAACTAATTAGCCCCGGTGGCTAGGGGTTTTGTATATTAATTTAATTTTCAACCTCACGGGGTAATTCTTGGCGCAACGTTAGTTTTAATCAACCCTTCGCTCCTCCCTTCTCGCTTGTGCGCAGCAGAGACAGGGGGTGGTTAGACACAGAGAAGAGAGAGAACAAGAGGGAAAGGGGTGGCAGAAGCCATAGAAAGGGTAGGAGGCAGAATGGAGTACACCTACTCAGCTAATAAAAACCGGCAATAAAAACTACCCCTTAGGACCGTGGCTCTCTCGCGTTTTCATCCCCTCCCTCTATGTTTTCCGGTCTCCTCCAACTTTTCCTTCGTAACCCTAGCCATCCTCTACTCCTGCATCATTATCCCCCTCTGGTTCTATGGTCTCCCTTGGAGCAGGTTCGTTCACCTGGCCAGGATTAACTTTAATCAAGTATTTACATTTTAATTCGCTGCCATGTACACTCGACCGACCTACAGGTCCTTTACGATAACATCGTCGTTTAATTGCAAACTGCCACTTTCGTACGACAAGACGTCTGTTCTAGTCTGCTTGAGAGAAGAAGAGAGAAAAACATGGAACGGAACGAAATGGAAGGGTAGGAGGAATAATAAGTCGGAGTTGCTGAAATGTGGCCGGTAAGATGCGGACAGGGAAAAATATGCCTGCTGTTGGAGCGAGTCTCGAGAGTAAGCGAGTTTCAACGCTGATGGAACGACGATCAAAGAATCTCCTTGTTAGAATAACGAATTGCCGGCAATAAAATTAAAGTACACTACAGAGATGAGAAGTTGGCGCGTGGAAAGAATACAATTCTGATTGGTTATGACGCAATGAGCAGAGAGCTCTGTGTTGATCCATGTGCCAAATTTTTCAGCTGTGCACTATATATGTACTCCAGTTTAAAACAACAAAGATCATACTTTCGGCGGTAACAGTTGAGCCTAATCTGACGAGGTGCGAGGCTGTACAGCTTATCGCGCTCGACAGCTGCTCTATCCGCGATACGTTTCTAATTGGACTTAATTGGATCCTTTGTTGAATTTCATTTGACGCGAAGTCGTCCTTCACGATAACAGACACCGTTGAAATTGAATTGCTGGTCGACGAACGCTAGTGGAACGGGATTTAAAAACTGGTCGCAAGTTCACATACTAGTTTCCTATTCGGCTGCGATTACTCGTTTCCCAGTAAAATCTGGGTAATCAAACCGACGGTTTCTACAACTTTCCCTTGGTCTAATACACGGAAAATTTCGTTACCCCATTCTGAGTAAAAAAAAAACTGAAAGACACCTCAGAAAATTTTCCTGGTTTTGGGATCCAGCAGCAGGTACCCGAAACTGTTCACGCTCCGAAAGTATTTGGGTCGAGCGTTTGACAGGTTGTAGAGGACAGGTTATGGGGTTTCAGGGTGGTCAAGGACCGAATTTATTATTTTACGAGGCTCGCCTGTTCCGGCCTGACGACTATTTTCGCGCCTTTTTCTCCCTGCACCCTGCTACATTTTTACGATCTCATTCAGGTGTCAAACTTTCCAATTAACGAACCCGGTACAGGGGAACAATGAGTCGGTAGATTCAGCTTTTTTGCACGTTCACGCTCGTTCCCTCTTGAACGGACGGAAACGGATCCCAAAGTTGTTTTTTCGTCCCTCCGCCCGATTTCTCTGCCATTACTGTTCTACACGCTCCCGAACAAACGATCTAACCTGTTTTAACTATCGACCAGTTCGTTGCACACGTCGAAGGAAATTAGAAACAAAAAAAAAATTGTTTGGTTAAAAGAGTGAATTTTTCCTAACCTACTCCATTTGCAACCTGTTACGTGTACCAGTAATTGCTGTGTCCCTGGAACTTGGAACCTGCTCGGTGGAATCAATCATTCAGAGGAAGAAAAGCATTTTCTAAGAAGCTATTAGAGAAAGGTTTCCAAATTTGGAACACCTAAGTAATTTTTAATTTAGATCGATGAAATATTTTTAAACGCAACAGATACGGACGACCAAGTCGCCCTAAATTCACGTGCGTGTCTTCCTCTCAACGAAGTTAAAACAACGGGCCAGAAGTTGGCAAGCCAAAATAACGCTCGAGACGACATTACGGTCTCGGGAATATTTTACAACGGCATTGCGTTCACGCCAAAACAAATTATGCTATCGATATCGTGTCGCGGTGACGAGGACTCGTTGAAAATACTCCGACCGTCCGAGCAAGACGGATATCGACGATGTCCGTGCAATAGTCGATTAATATCACTGGATATCTGTGATCCAATTAATTGATACCAAAGATGCTCGATTATTGACAGAATATTGTCGATGTTACCGTAATAATTCTCGCTATACCAGCGCGCGTTTCGAGCGTCGTGCTCGTTTCATATTCTACGGACATCTCAGAACGTTCCTGTTCTCCGGATCGTGCGATTGTTCGAGCAAGAATACAAACGACGACGACGACGACGACGAGGAACGTGGAAAATAAACGTTAGACGTATTAACCGGCCCGAGTCCGATAAAGGAACGTTTTCCACCTTCTATTCATCGTACAACCCCCGTTACTCTCCAGCGAGAGATTAATGGTGCAGCAGATAGAACCAATTTCGGAGCTTCTCGTTTGACAAACCGTAGTCTCGCGTAAATTTTCTGATTCCATCGAGTCGGTTACCGAGTAAAAATAAAAAACGAAATGGCTAACGACGTTGAAAAGAACGCGACGAGACGCGAAATCGGTTCTCCGTGTGTGGCGGGACAAGCTGGGTCCGGCCGAGGAGTCCAGAAATCGTAAGCTCACCACGCTCGATAAGGACCCAATTACATTTTAGCCGATGCTATCTGTCCGCCACCAGGAGCGATAGCAGCGACCAAACTAATTGGCCAAGCCAGAAAGGAGATACACAGCCACGATAGTCGCGTGAATTACAGAAAAGAAGATAGAGAGAGGAAGAGGGAGAGGGGCGAACGAAGGGAAGACACCCTCGAAGGGGCTCGAAGGGGCTCGCCGGGCCCGGGAAACATCGAATATAAGCTCTCATCTCTCTTTCTATCCTTCGTTGCTTCTATCTCCGACGCGCATATAATCGCCGCGGCGAAAGAAAGCCCCGAACGCAATTTCAAAGTTCGAGACTCGTTTGGCGGCCTGCCAGCGCTCACGTAACTAACTACTTGTTTTGCCAAGCGTGTGCACCCTCCCTCGCCTGAGCCGCAAGCGGTTCGCCTAGCTCTCGCCGGCTGATCCGCTCGATTTTCGAAAAAGGTTAACACCTCGGCTAGCGCGGATCACCGTTCGACCACGTGGCGACGGACGCGCCTGCGTGCCCCAGCCTCCAGACCTTACACGGAAATTTCTTCTCTCAGTCTTCCCGTGTCCACCAGTTGGCACGATACCCTCCCGACACCATATTGGCATCAAACTTTTCACTACCAATCCTGATTATGCCAGCCAGCCTAACCGATCCGATCCGATCCGTCCCGCGAGAACACGCCAACCACGCTTCACCTGCTGCTCGAACCGGACACCCTTCCGAATCAAACGACCCAACCACTCCCCCTAAATTCGATCATTCCAACGATACAACTCTTTCTCCTCTCCAATTTGTCAAATACAAGGGCTCTCCAGCCTTATCTGCGATCTACGACATCGATTTTTTCACCAGATAACGAGACACCGATAAGAGGCGCGAGCATCAGGCCAGATAAAGAATCTGACGGAATTTACGCGTTTCACCTCGTTTCACGATCATCCATGGTGAAATAAAAGTAATTGCTCTCTTACCTCGATCCACGGCATGCGTAGGCTGTGTTCCTGGTCGACTTTAATATCCCCTTAGCGTTGCCCGTACGTTGCGGGCTGACAATAACAAACAAACACTTTGTGGCACAATCTACTTTGGTCGACGAACGGCACACGTCTAACGACACGATTAGATCGGGACACGATCGCGTATCACGATCGCCCCGACGGATCACCACACGATCGTCCTTTAACTAGTCGTCACTGTTACGAAGGGTGTCGCGGACAGGTGTGAACCCACACTGGTTCCTTCGAATTCCCTCGAGTTTATCGCTCCCACCGTATGACTGCGTGGCACGAGAGCACCAAGTCTTCGGTCTCGTTCGAAAACCCGCGTCTTCCACGGCGGACTATTGATTTTAAGTTCCGCTCCGTATCGCGAATCCCAAGCCTAACGACACTCTGCCAACGCTCCAACACGGCCAGGATACCTTGACGCGTCTCACTCAAGGTTGAAGCCTTTGCACGTCAAGGTAACGTCGAAGATCCCTTGCTCGGTGTCAACCGAGGTAATCCCGACGACTAACGCGTAACAGTCAACAGTCTCGTTTCACTGCATCGAATCTCGTCGTACCTGTTCACTCTACCGAGAGTAGAATCGTCGGTTCACCGAGTCGCGAATCGACGTCGCTCCTAACTCACAGACACAAACGAACGAGGCTTAGGAATCGCGTAACTGGTCACTCGTGATTGCCGTGCAGCTGACGATAATGACCGCTGTCAAAAATGAGTAGAACGAACACCCGGTGAGGATGGCAAGCACACCGCGCGCGCGACCAGCAGAACACGTAACGGAGCCACGACACGAACCGCACGGCACGACGGCGGACGAGCGAGTGGGGCTTTCGAGCTTTCCCCCACTCCAGTTCGGACCGTGCTACGGATCAGAATGAGCATGCCTCGAGCTCGAGCGAGTACGTTTCAAAAGTAGAGGAACGCAGGGGAACGAGGGGCTGAAAATGGGGTAGCCGCGGAATCGCGGGGGTGGGGATAGCCGCGAGGCAGAGTAGGGGAAGAGTAACGCGAAGCGCGGGAGGGATGGTACACGATTTTACGGAAAGGACGAAGGTGGTGGGGTGGCGGATAGATGGACGTCAGGGGCGTGAGCAAAGGAGGGGCATCGATATCGCCCCTCTTTTCATCCTACCGTCGCGTACTCCGCACTCCACGCGACTTTGAGAGTGAAACATTTCGCGGGTTTCGCGGACGCTGGGCGTGGGATGGGGTTCCTGCTGTCGGAGGGGGAATGGAAGGGAAACGTAGTGAGGGAAGACAACAGTATTCCCGTTAATTGAACGACTCTCGTAGGGAACGAGAGGGGTGGCTGGCGGCGGCAAGCAAGACGAGGGGCCCAGAGGTGGAGGCAGAGGATTACTCGCAGTAATTACTTATTTTTATTACGCTCCGCCTCTCTCTACCTTCTCCCACCCTTCCTGGACCTCTTTGTCCCCCGCGTTCCATGACGACGAGGAGTCCTCCTTCGAGACACTTGTCTTCTTTTCCACTCCTGTCGTTGGCCAATGTTATGTACTAGGATGCCCTTTTCGATACGGCTGTTTATTACATTCTATGTTCTGATAATCAATCCTTTAGGTACTCGGATAGTCGCTCTACTATACTCCAATTTGCGAGCAATCGTCTCCGTACGATAACTCGTTATCCGGCCAACATAATGCGTCGCGAAAGTCCGCATGAGAAATGGTTAGAAAATATTCTATGCTACCACATTATTTCGTTTCGCGAATCGGTCTTTCGGTCTGTGCTCCAACTATGAATTCCTCTAGATTCTGGACAATGGTTGCCGCGGTAACCGTGGAAGTCAAAGAACACTTTCAGCTAATTGAACGACCATGGTCCTCGAGAATCCAGAGTGGTGGCCGATTACTCCGAGTAATTACTTATTTTTATTACTTTCAGCCTCTTTGCCCCTCCCATTGGCCGAGTAACGTCACTTATCGCTGGCCAACCACGGCTACCGTCCTCACCAACGCAACGTACTTCGTTGCAGATGTCTTTGATACGTATCGCGTTTTTTAAGTGCCACTCCAGACCACGGATTCCATATCGTGTCCGTTGTAATTATCGTCCCTGTTCAGACGCAACGTTTCGTTCCGCCTCTTCGTGCCGTTTCTTCCGAGTCCTCCTCTTTCAACCCTCTGGATCTTCTTCGATGCGACGCGAGCACCTGCCAGCTAAATGCCAGTTCCTTTCCATCGAAGCTACGTGGGTCGTTCATTAAGCAAACAGACAAGCAGCTGAATTTCGAAAACTGAACTACGACATTTTCGGAGGCAACTTTAAACGATGAAATTCTGCGATATCCGGTCGCGCGTGGATGCATTCGCGAATTCAAAGGGCGGGTGTCCACGAGAACCTGTCGTCGATTCGCGTACGGAATCGAAATTAGCAGTCGATTCTGGCGTAGGTACGGCTGGAAAAGCCGGTAGTCGCGTGGCTAGAAGCACGCTTCTATTTATATTCATCCACAGAACGGCTTAACTTGAGCGAGTACGCTAAAACCTCGGCTACTACACTCGTAGCCCCGGAAAAACGCGAGTTACGCGCATAAATAGCGCGGCGCGTGCTCCGGAAAAATTATACGACAGTTTGAAGTGCTTCCCTTAAAGCGGGATAAAATGATTACTCCGTTTACTGGCGAGACTTCCCTCTGTCTCCTCCCTCTCGCTCTCTTCTCCAGCTTCTTCATCTTTTTCTTCCTCGTTTTCTTCTTCCTTTTCTTCTTCCTTCGTGCTGGTTTTTCAGAACGAGCTTTACAAGCCGCGAACGCTGCAATGCTGATACGCTCGTTCCTACTTACTTGAAGAAATAATAACGAAATAACGACGAAGGAAAGCTACACGATTAACGCGACCACCAACGGACTCCGTCTTGAAAACATCTCGTTCTCTTTTGCGTCGATGAAAGACGAGTTAACTCTGGCTGCGAGCCTGGCACTCATTAAGTTCCAATTTTAATTGCTGTCCGGCCGCTTTTTAAGACTACACCTTGTGTTTCCTCCACGTTAATTGATTCGCCTTTTGATACCGAACGATTATTCGCGACGTGTAATAAAAGTTTCATTGAAATTCTATATATTCCATTCCATTCGTCCTATTCGATCAAACGTTAACAAGTTTCAGTAATTTTCGTCGTTACAGGTAAAACTTTCTACGAGCATTCGAATAAATACGATGTGATTATCGAAACGCGTAATTCGTCGTGGATCGACAACCAATCGAACTTCTCCCAATCACTTTTCGTTCGCTTATTTTGTTTGCGAGTAAACAAAGAAGAACCCGGTGAAAATCGTGGTCGAACGACACATGGTATACGCGAGTCTCGTAGAACGAGCGTCGTTTAATTCGTTCAATTATACCATGATTAATTACTTCATTAATTGCGATACCGCTCTACTTATTTCAGGGGAACCGGGAACGAAGGCGGAGCGCGACGGGATACCATCATAATGCACTTTTAATAATTAACACGGTGAATAGCAACGCGAACGGAATTGTGTATCGCTCGCGTCTGAAATGATTAAAACATCGACGGGCTTACTTTTGAGGTCGACAGTGAGCCGATTTTGTAACGCTGGATCCGCCGTTCCAATTACACTGCTCGAAATAATTAGAGGATCGGCTGATGGAATAATCGCGTTGCTTAATAAGGTGGCCGACACTCTCTCTCTGTGTAACGAGTCATCCAAGCATTCTCTTTCTTTTTCATATCGGATGAATTGTACAGTTAGGACGAATCATTGTTCAGGATTCTTTTTAATTTTAAACGAGGATTTAAATGTTCAAAAAATTGTTGGATGTACGATTTATCCAAGATGCGACACATGACACTGCGATACTATTCTAGAGTTAGCTTGCGACCGTAGTTTATGTATTCCAAAACAAATCGAACAGTGATAAAAAAAAAGCAGAAATAAAATTCAAGACCATCGAAGCATTCTCTACGCATTGCTCGAACAACAACGATATTCCGCGAAAACAGGTGGAAAAGCGTATCTGAAAAAGCGGCCGGCACCGTTGATAAACAAAGAACGAATGAAACATTTATCAATGGAGGGAGAGTATCGGTAGCGGGCACATGAAAAATTTCGAATATGTTTTACAACAGGGCGGAACATCGGACAAAACGTGGGCTGCTCGTCGTATTTTCCCTGTGCGTCGTTCGTTGAAATTCTAATTTCGCGCGGGAAGGATATTTTACGCTTGGACTTTTTTACCCCCGCCAGCTCGTAACACGACTCGTAGGAGGACTCTATTGCGATCACCTAGGTACAAGCTTTCATTGTTGTTTTCCCAACCGGTGTTCCATGCGTGTCTATTATTATTACCGTTTTCTCTTCGCGTTTCGGCCCATAAACAACAAACTCGGCGTCGTTGCACAATGGCCTGGAACAATAGCCACGGCTGATTGATCCTTAACTTTTAAAGTACCGCCTGGCTACCTCTATCTATCGACCGTCGCGCGATTCTGGCTAACGTATCGATACACTGCCAACTTATTCGCCTGTGCGCTTCGATTTGCATAGCCGCGTAGGAACACTCCTCTCCGCTCCGCTCCGCACCGCGTCGCGACGGATCGAAGCGTACCCATTGTCGCGTTTCGTCCGTAGGCGCAACCAACGATCGTTTGACGAACGTCTCTATTATTCCCTGCTCGTCCAGTAAATTCAAAGGTAGACATTTTTCGTTCACGCTTACAACGGTGTAACCGTGGGCCGAGAATTGCGTTGCGAAGGTAACAATTACTCGTTAATCGTGATTTCTGACGTGCCAAGGTTTCTTACATTCTTCTCTATGGTAGAAACATGATCAATGAGTGGAATAATGTTTGCAGTTGACAGGGAGGATAAGTGAATCATTACCGGTTATGCTTGCAAATCTTTTCTATTCCTTCGTTCAATCACTAGGTGTCGAGATTAACTTTATTGAATAATTCAATAAAAAACAAATCGTTAATTTAAGGTAATACGACCTTAAAGAATGATCCATAATACAGTAGAAAAGATAAGCGAATTTGCACACTTAATGCTCAGCAAATATCATCCCGTTATCACAAAGAGAACTGATCTCCTTTAATCCTTTAACTGCGGGTATTTTTAGCACAGCCGATCGCTCTAATTTTAAATTATACTACTGAAGTGATATTCTATTTTAAAAGACTTTTTTTATTGTATATAAGCCACAACCGCTATTTGATATTAGCAAAAATTAACATGTTTATATACCACACCCGCCTCTGGCTACTATTTTAGTATGTGGTTTATAAACCACACCCGCAGTTAAAGGGTTAATTTCAGGACAGTTCAAAGTTGACTCACCAAAATTCAAAGAACGTTCGTTATCATTCCAATCGTCCTACATGCTAGATCTTCCGAAACAATCGAATTAAATGTGTTCTTAAGTCGAACCGAACGGTTCAACATCAAAGGGACTCCTAAATCAATAGAAATACTTGAAGAGCGTGTAGTTTCGACGGTCAAAGCTGACGGTAGATCCTTTCAGCGATCCTACCGATTCATTATCAACGCATTCACCAGAATTTGCTAATGTCTCGTATCTAATCGACAAGGTAAACACGCAGGACCAGCAAACAGAACGTTTAGCGATACAACGGACCCGCTAAGATTCTCATTACCAGGTCTCCGGCGAGCGTTCGACCGCCGTAATCTTGTCAAAACTTTTATCTAGACTTGCATCGGCCAGCGAGGAAAACAGCGAAACCCGAAGGATCCGTCGGCGTAACCTAGGGACAATAGGCGAATGCCTGGAAGGGATCGTGGGGCCAGGACAAGGTGGAACAAGAGAGAAAAGGAAGAAGAAAAAAAAAAAGAACAATGACGACGACCAAGCCCAACGTGGTTTCGGATAA